ACCATATTGCTTGTTTTAGTAATATATCATGACTTGCATGACCTTACTGTTGTGAACGTATTTTGTCTAATTAAGTGTTAATAGGCTTTCAAATTTAGACCTGTACCTAGGCCTCCAACTGACGTTGTTCAGGCTGCTGTTCACGCTGATTCGTGCAGCGAGGGATTCCCTCATTTGATAAGTTTAGGTCACGTGACTCATACGGTACTTGTTTACTAGTTAGGCCTGCCTGAGATGACAATGCTAAGGGAAACCTAACCAGACAATGCAATGCACTGAAGAGGATATGTTCGCAGGAAAACCCTGATTTACCAGAGATTACAAAGAGGACTGCTCTATTGGAAGATTTATTCCAAACAGTGGAGGAGAAACACACAGAACTGGTTGCTCTTGTGGAAAAGGAAGACGATTACGCCACTGAAGAGGCCTGGATGGAAGAATGTCAAGAACAATATCTAGTTGAGAATGAACAGATAAAACGAATTATTAATGAGTTACAGAACAAATTAAGTTCTAGTGGAAAGGATAATGTTGTTATTGTAGATGGTAGCAATAATGCTAGTAGTAATCATAATGATACAAGTCCTGATAATACTCAAAATAATAATTCAAATGATAATGTTAGTGATAGCAATGAAATTATAATGATAAGATAGACGATGATGTAAAGGATGTGATTGATGATAACAGTGTCACAAACCTCTCTTCATCCACAGCTAGTAGTGGCTCATCGGATGTGAATGCATTTAATTGGGAAGCCTACTGCGAGCAATCGCCTTACCTCAAAGCCAGCCGAAGAAGTTTCCTGGCAACCCATTACGCTACCATGCCTTCATCACTACATTCCGTAGTACAGTTTCACAGGTACCTGATGATGGCGTTAAACTACAGCATTTACTTTCCCTCTGTGTGGGAACAGCCTATTCCTCTATTCAGTACTGTGTACTAAAGCCAGCCACAGAAGGGTACCAAGCAGCTCTCAAGAAGTTGAAAGAAAAGTTTGGAGATGCTGATATAGTCACAAAGCCTGGAGAGACAAAATATTAAAGAGAGGTGCAGTCACCATCGACTCCCTCAGTGACTTCACAGACAATCTGGGCAATTGCTATGGCACTCTGGAAGCATTGGAGAAACTAGCCAAACTAGACACAATGAATGGATTGTCCAAAATTGTACAGATTCTGCCGTTATTCCTCGGAAATAAATGGAAAGATGTTAACTTCAAACTGAAAGCGAAAGGTACCACTGCAACACTTAAATACCTTGTTGAATTTGTCCAGAAACCCAGGGACAAGGAAGACGACCCTGTTTTTTGAATGAACCCTGGCGGATTGAACGTGCGTCCCTGTTGGTGTCGGCAAAAGTGTTAAAACCACATTCAGGAGCCAGGAAAGCGTATACTATTTCTTTGCTCTCATCCTCACTAGTTCATCCACCATATACTGCAGAGGAGGGGTACGGGAATACACAAAAAATTATTGGGTCACTTAATAAAGCAGTGAGTCGAACACTGAAAACAATGGAATTGACAGATTGCAAGACGAGCAGGATGCCAAAGTAGCGGAACCAGAACCTGAGCCAGAAGCCATTACAATGCCATGGCGAAGTAACAGGAACGTAAAACCCAAGAGGTTTTAGAAAGGTTGGGAAACCGGCAATTATTGCATTTACCAGGAGGCGTGGAAGGAGAGTGCCATTCGCCTGGCTCTACAATGTGAAATTTCATCTGAATGGTGCCATTATGATTGTATTGACATCATGAGCTACATTAATGTTAATATGGCACATTACTGATTCTACTGTGGGTTAAGAGGCTGCAATGATGGGAAAACAGTTTCCGACTTGAAGAAGAATACTTTGCTCCTCAAACAGACAAAACAAGGGGAAACAGATCATGAAAAGCACCAGATCAGTAAAGTGCAGTTCGACCATGTTGCTGAAGATGTGGGTAAATCAGAGGCTGACAACAAAACATCTTCGGGATCATCAGAAAAAAACAGCATATTTTTGGCTGGAACTAATGCAAGTGCCATATGATGTAGGGTTCCAGCAATGAGAAACACAGCACAGATAGACAACCACAAGCGCTGGATTGTACAGTATGAAGGAAAAAAACCGATGATGAAGACGATGTGCACCAAATCCGAACGTGCATTTTGACCAAGATGATGAAGATGTGAGTCATTCAAAGGCTGACGACAACACATCTTCAGGATCAGAAAAAAAAAACAGCATATTTTCGGCTGGACCTAACACAAGTGTCCATGATGTGGGTTCCAGCAATGAGGAATGAAGCTCAGACAAATTGGCACAAGCACGGAATTGTATGAACGCAGTGGCGATAATGATCTCAACAAAGGTGCAGTCACTGCTTCCAGTCCAGGAAGTGAAAATATGAAGAAAGTACCCATTGACAAGGCCACCATAGGTGCTTGCATTGGCGAAGATTGGGGCGAAGATATTGGAGAAAAAGTAAATCAAAAGATTTCATTCAAAAAATTGCAAACTTCTCCATAGGAAAGTAAAAATGGAAGGAAATCTGTAAACATTTGCGAGGCAGGTACTTTCAGGAAGGGCAGTGGCATAAACCTTCAACCTCGATGCGGTGAATTAGGAGTTATCTCACCATAACCCCACCACGAGGTTTTCAAGAACCTGCCGTTTTTGAGAATTTCTCTAAATTTAAAACACTCCCACCTACCATATGAAAATCATACAAAGGTGGGGCTATTACACGGTGTCACATGTTGATCAAATCTATTAGTCAATTAATTTCCGAGCAGCACAGTTGAATTTGCGATTTGCATATGATTAACCTAGCCGGTGTCTTTACGTTGCATGTGTAGCGTAAACCGTTACACGTTGTCAGTTTATCTTGGGAAGTCGGGAACCTCGGAAGCTAGTACAGTATGCTTACAGCTTAAATTTCCATTGGGAAATGATGGGGTATGCAGTTGGCAACCCATGTGGAGGTAGGCCCCGGGATAGCTAGAGAACTGGCGAAGTTCGTGAAACCGTTGGAGACGGTATGTTAATCATATTCAATTTTGTTGATCATGGTAGACCTATATATGTATGTTATGCCATAAATAAGATGCTCACAAATATAGATTTATCATATTATGATTATCAGAATGCTAGTGAATGCTATGCCTTTCACATTGAGATGTTAATATGTTTATCACAAATTTAATGTAATGGATGTTAGTTATTAATATGCCTATTTCTTATTGGAAAGAAAGGATAAAGCCATTTATATGTTAAACATGAGATTTTATCTGCATGCATTAGCCTAATGTTATTGTTATTTGTGCGGTGCACAGATAATTGGTAACGTCTTACTTGAATTTGTAGGCTTCTAGTGTTAAGTGGAACTAAACGTTCTACCGATCAATTCATGTTGATACTGGTACCAAGTGGAATTGAGGATTGAACCTGTACTTGGGAACTGTGACATATATAAAAGAGTGTGTGTGCATACACGTGGATACAGTCATTGTACCAAAGGCCAGAGTTTGACAGCAAGTTGTAACGCAGAAACCGTGGCAGAAGCCGGTTCAGCGTGCTACATTCAGTTATGATCAAACCGTCATATCTTTTAATTATTAATAATCATTATTTCTTTTTGTTATTTATTGTCATCCGTATTGTCATGTTTATTATGTTAAAGCAGGGAAGTGATATATTGTAATGTAGTATTAAGGTTCAATGGTATTAACTTGCATAACCATTGGAATCGATACCCTTCACCTGATAAATGCCTTAAATTGGATTGACAGTTTTAATGGTCAACTTGAGTATACAGATAATCTAATAATATAACTGGACTTTGTATAACTTTACCCTAGTCAGTTGGACTTGGCCTTTCTCACACTATGAATCTATGATTGTCAGTTTCGAGCCTAAGCTCTGAAGT